GATGCTGCTCTCCTTCCATGCCCTGAGCCCTCTTTCCATTTGAATCTAGATTTCCCTTACTCTCACCACTTGAATGCAAGATATAAACAGAAACAGAGAATTCTGAGGTGCACGCACAAATCTTACCCACTTTTTAGGTTGCAAGTCCATGTCAAAACCTTGGACCAACTACTTGCTGAAGCGAGATAAGCATGAACCCTGTTTATGAAAGCAGTTAGATTTGTGTAACTCTGAAGCAAAGGAATCATTATTTGCTATGCTGATTCATGATTGTTAGGTCCACACACTGGCACTGCAGACGATAAATCTGACATGTCACCACCGGTGTATATCTCAAAACGTGTTTGTGGTTTATAATGCAGACAAATGCACGCTCATGTTTTCACATCAGCAAAGGAAAGTTTCCTCAATCCGGGTTCATCTAGTAACTTCCTTCCACACAATGTAAAGTTTAGCCACACGCATTAATGCTTCGGTTTGGTTTGGCTTTTCTTAACGCCACCTAATCCCCCTCACACGTTCTTGTCTTGTCACTTTTTGATTTTTCTTGCTTACTCGGCGCAATTAAAAGTAAGACAAATAAACAAAATTATTAAATAAAGACTAAAATGGAAAACGTGGAACAACATGTTGAATTTTTTTGGTAATATCTGGGAAATGCCAAGGGCATTTGTGTAAAAATATAGGAAGGTGTATACATCTATAAAGCCATCCACGGCAAATACTTGCACCAACAAACGCAAACGAAAATTGTTCCTGATTTCTTTAGCCGCCACGACGCCATTGATGGAAGCCGACGAAGTAATGGAGCTCTATGATTCTTACTGGTTTCAGCTCGGAATCTTCGAAAAGCAACCAAATTCATCAAACCCATCAAGGATTGAAGCAGACCCAGTTCTTGAAATTGAAGAAGAACCATCAAAACCAGAGCTTTTACGCATCCCGACCCTCCTCCATACCAGGTCCATGAGCGACGAATTGAGCTCCAAAACGAGCTTCAACTCCAGCTCCTCTCTCTCACCAGACTCAGTCCTCCACAGACCAAAGCTCTCCACCATTCTTTCTGGCAAGGAAGCCACAGAAGTTGAAACCCCAATACAGAGACATGTCGAAGAGTCGCCAAAGAAGATTACAAGACGGAGGAGGAATAAGAAGAAGGGTGAGAGCAAGAGCTTGACAGACCTTCAATTTGAAGAGCTAAAAGGGTTTATGGATCTTGGTTTTGTTTTCTCAGAGGAAGACAAAGAAGATTCAAACTTGGCTTCGATCATTCCTGGGCTGCAAAGATTGGGGAAGAAGGACGGCCAAGACGAGGTCTTTGACGAGTCTGCAATTCCAAGGCCTTACCTTTCCGAAGCTTGGAAGGTGAGGGATCAAAGAAAGAGAGAGAAGCCATTGATGAATTGGAGGTTTCCTGCGTTGGGCAATGAAATTGACATGAAAGACAATCTCAGATGGTGGGCTCACACAGTTGCTTCCACAGTTAGATGACGAATACTCCGCTTCTAAGATTTTTTTCTTTTTTTCTTTTTGGGTTTTGATTCAATTTCTCTTTCAGTTCTGTATACAGAAGATTTAGGTCAATCAATATTGTTTTACAATCTTGTAAATGTAAATAAAGGTAGAATTTTTTTCATAATCAGCTTATGAATACTTGTTCTTTGCTCTGCATTCTGATTCATAAAAAAACATATATTTTAACCAACTTGAGGGATGTTATTCAAAATTGAAGCTGTCTTGGTTAGTGGGGGAAGAAAAGTAGCTTTGAAATGTCGGACCTATCAAGTTCTCATGAAACATATCTACTTCTGCTCATCCATATCTTAAGCACCCTTGTTAATATTGTTGTCGTTTGGAAAGGGTTCATTAGTGTAGTGGTTCGAAGAGGGAAAGATTTTGGGTTTGAGTTCTAGCATTCATATAGTGTGTGAGTTTGTTATATTATCGTCAGTCTAATTAGTGTAGTAGTTTGAAATAATTACTCTCTTAAGAAAAGTCTTGATTCAAGTTTTAATATTTATGTAGTGTGTAAATTTAATATATTATCGTCCCTCAATTGGAAGGTCCTCAAAAAATATAGTTATCGTTTAGTTTAACTTGATAATCATGGTCAATCACGGTCCAAAATATAGACATAACTCTTAGTCATTTATAAAATAAAAACGTCACCAAAAACATGTATGATAGTACATTCACGTGGGCTGAGTTATCAGTTACTTCTTGGTGGATTTAGTATGACAATGTCAATAAGCTAATGCCATGTTAGACAACATAGTGAGCTGTGATGACATAATGTTATTACTTGGCTTATTTGGGTGAGAAACTCTCAAATAATGGGAATAACACTTTTTGCTATCTCAAATTAATAACGCATGACATATGGATAAGTTTTCCACGTATCATTGTGTTAGTGGTTGGAAATAGCAAAATAGTGTTATCCGCGTTACATGTAAATCTTTTTGCCTATTTGGAAGTGATAAACAATGTCAGTTAAGGGTCGCACACCACAAGATTGGGAAGGAAAGACAGAATCCATGCATAGTTTTATTGCTTGAGAGTAGATCTATCAATGGATCAGATTTTGATCCGAATTTGATTTGAATTCGGTGCAATTAATAATAGATGGATTTAACTTCTCAATCTAATAATCTGATTACGATCCGAATCGATAATCCGATTATAAATGAATTCGAATATAGAGTATAGTTGATCCGATCTGACTTAGTATGAAGTATAATTTAGTTTTTCTATGCTTTATATTAATATTTTATATGTGTAAATGATGCTTACACTTAAAACTAATTTTTATGATAAAATATCAAATTTTGATATTAAAAAAAAAGTAAATAAATATAATTAAAGAACGAGGCTTCTAATGAAATTTTGATTTTTTGTACATATCAAAATAAATCCGATAATAATCCAAATACGATGCGAAGCAGATATGAATTGATAGGTGCAATCCGATAGTTCAAATACGATTGGAATATGATAATCCGATTATAAATGAATTCAAATTTGGATTGAGGTATATTTGATCTGAATCCAACCCATTTACAGGTCTACTTGAGAGACTAATTGACAAAGATAGTGTATCCTTTCTTTATGCTCAAGTTCGATTCTCCTCCTTCTACAGAAGAATTAAAGTATCGATTTTTCAACAAAAATATATCGTGCTTACACTCGTAGATATGACAAATTTTGAAGAGCTAGCTCATTAAAAGAGGTGAACACAAATAAACTCCATAGCAAAGCAAGTGACTAATTGATTAATTGTGCGCAATTAATTATTAATGACGCATCACCTGCATGAACACAATTTTCTACATCCTAATGTGGTATGGGATCGATAGTATACGAATACGTTGTGAAAACTCAAAGGTCAATCAATAAACAAAGTTTTGCTAAAAGTTCCAATACACCTTAGTATTTTAGATTTCCCCAAAAAGAAATCGTCGAAATTAAATTATATTAAGTAATCATATCGCTTTCACGTTATTTTTGGACCGTTGGGTAACTTTTAGGCCTAATTTACGGGGCCCATCGCATTTGCCCAACGTAAACACACCGCCCACTGTCTACTGCCCACTGTTTTTTTGCTCCAGGACCGAATTACCCTTAAAGATTCTTCACAGGATCTCACAGGTATGGAAGGCTAGTTCAGTAATATGAGATGACATAGAATGAGAGAATATTTGCTTTGCCGAAAGGACTCGCGAGGGTCCTTCCAAATAGAAGCTGCAGTCGCCAAATACAAAGCTCTGCCGTCTGCTCCTTCCTTGACCCAGTGTTGTTGTTCTTCTTCATGGACGGTTTGCGGGTTATGGAGGAGACCATGGACTCTCTCTGGTTTTTCAGCAATGTCTTCTTCTCTTCAAGAGCTACAATTTTGGGTCCAATTGAGCCTGTTGAAGAACCTGTCAAGGAAGAGTGCTCCAAACCCATGTCACCAATTGCTCAAAATCAGCAGAAAAATTCCCCACCAGAGGCCCAAATGTCAGTTCCATTGTGCCCAAAATGTGAAGAACCAGAAAGTTTGAAGCTTGATATGGAAGTGGTGGAATATTATTATTCTCCAAGTCCAAGGTCAACAGAGAAGGAAACGAGTTTTTTATGATAAAATATCAAATTTTGATATTAAAAAAAAAGTAAATAAATATAATTAAAGAACGAGGCTTCTAATGAAATTTTGATTTTTTGTACATATCAAAATAAATCCGATAATAATCCAAATACGATGCGAAGCAGATATGAATTGATAGGTGCAATCCGATAGTTCAAATACGATTGGAATATGATAATCCGATTATAAATGAATTCAAATTTGGATTGAGGTATATTTGATCTGAATCCAACCCATTTACAGGTCTACTTGAGAGACTAATTGACAAAGATAGTGTATCCTTTCTTTATGCTCAAGTTCGATTCTCCTCCTTCTACAGAAGAATTAAAGTATCGATTTTTCAACAAAAATATATCGTGCTTACACTCGTAGATATGACAAATTTTGAAGAGCTAGCTCATTAAAAGAGGTGAACACAAATAAACTCCATAGCAAAGCAAGTGACTAATTGATTAATTGTGCGCAATTAATTATTAATGACGCATCACCTGCATGAACACAATTTTCTACATCCTAATGTGGTATGGGATCGATAGTATACGAATACGTTGTGAAAACTCAAAGGTCAATCAATAAACAAAGTTTTGCTAAAAGTTCCAATACACCTTAGTATTTTAGATTTCCCCAAAAAGAAATCGTCGAAATTAAATTATATTAAGTAATCATATCGCTTTCACGTTATTTTTGGACCGTTGGGTAACTTTTAGGCCTAATTTACGGGGCCCATCGCATTTGCCCAACGTAAACACACCGCCCACTGTCTACTGCCCACTGTTTTTTTGCTCCAGGACCGAATTACCCTTAAAGATTCTTCACAGGATCTCACAGGTATGGAAGGCTAGTTCAGTAATATGAGATGACATAGAATGAGAGAATATTTGCTTTGCCGAAAGGACTCGCGAGGGTCCTTCCAAATAGAAGCTGCAGTCGCCAAATACAAAGCTCTGCCGTCTGCTCCTTCCTTGACCCAGTGTTGTTGTTCTTCTTCATGGACGGTTTGCGGGTTATGGAGGAGACCATGGACTCTCTCTGGTTTTTCAGCAATGTCTTCTTCTCTTCAAGAGCTACAATTTTGGGTCCAATTGAGCCTGTTGAAGAACCTGTCAAGGAAGAGTGCTCCAAACCCATGTCACCAATTGCTCAAAATCAGCAGAAAAATTCCCCACCAGAGGCCCAAATGTCAGTTCCATTGTGCCCAAAATGTGAAGAACCAGAAAGTTTGAAGCTTGATATGGAAGTGGTGGAATATTATTATTCTCCAAGTCCAAGGTCAACAGAGAAGGAAACGAGTAGGAGGAGGAGGAGGAGGAGCAAGAGAAGTGTGCAGCAGCAGAGACATAGGAGAAAGATTCTTGGAGAGCTTGATGAGTTGGGTTTGGATGATCATGTGAAGGAGGTGATTTCTGGGTCCTGGTCGTCCTCTAATTGGATGGTTGAGGGAAATTGTGGGTATAATCAACAATGTCAGAACAATATGCCTTCAATCAGTGATAATATGGCCATGAAAGAGCATCTCAAGTCATGGGCTTATGCTGTTGCATGCACTGTCAGATGAATTTAACCAGCTTCTAGGATTGTCTAATTATAGACTTGAAGAACACTGATCTCACCTCTGCTTCTCTCTCTCTCTCTCTCTCTCTCTCTCACACATATGCGACTAATTCTGTTGTTTGATCTGGGCATGCCCTTGACAATGTAATGATCTGATATCTGATTCTGTTTAATGGTATTTTAATTTAATTCCAACTGATATGTGTCAGATGACTCTACATGAAGTTGAAATGTGACTGAAAGTTAGCAACTTTCAGGGTCAGCTTCCCCCTCTTAGACACAAGTACTGTATAGTCTCCGCTATGTGCACCTTGCAAAATGTTGAATGACAAACCAAAGCTTGGCTTATTTAGCAGAAAAAAAACCCATTGCTGGGAAACTTCAGCACCAAAAAAATCCAAAATAAGAATTCACAGGGAAAGTTCTGTGTCATGTCAATTTATGCAAGCAACTGTTCAGAAAAAACCAGAGGGGTTCACATGCGTATAATAGACCCATTGACTATCTATCCCTATGGCTAGGCTGACTATTCTACTGCAGTGCAGCCCATGTCGTCCTATTAAAAAATTGCAACTTTCTGCTTTGAACTTTTGGCAGAAGTGAATAAAGGCAGAACATAATCCATCAACCATCTGCAACTTGTCAATCAAAGTTAATTTTTTGTTTTTATCAGTTTGAGAAGTTCTCTCTTTTGAGCATTGGATGCACTGATCAAATTGTGGGTGCATTTAGAAGAGGAAAAATAAGAAAACTTGAGGTTGCCCTGATATTAGCTCTGGGCTGGGCCCAAGTATATATTGGACTGGGCTTGATTTGGCGGTAAACCAAACCCGACCCAAGGAGAAGCGCCGCCGCCCACCAATCCAACTTCTCTGCGTGCAACATGTCTGATTACGAAAGACCAAAACGAAGAGACTGAGGAAAGGTGAAGGCGGAGATGACGGACCTAAAACCAAGGCGGCTGAGGGGCCACAAGGCCACTGCCACGTGTTGCATCGCCTCTGTTGCTACCCCTGGCCTCGTCGCCACTGCCGGAGAGGTATGGTTATGGAGGAAATTTGAAAAAAAATCAAAATTATGGCGTGTTTACATTTTATGGCAAATTGGGTACTTTCGTGTTGAAATTAAATAGAGCTTGGTGTTCATGTTGTGTATTCAGGATGGCTGCGTTTGCTGGTTTGATATGCGATGCAAAGATGTGATAGATATTATGGAGGTGGGAGAAGAACCCGTTTCATCATTATGTTTCAGGCCAGGTAATGATATATACGATTATGTTTCACATATATGTTTAGAATGAAAAGTTTGCAAATTGAATTTTGTGGGTTGGCTCAGGAAATGAAAATATGATCTTTGTTTCATCTGAGAAGCAAGTCAAGAGCTTTGATGTGCGTCTGGTAATCATCGACTCTCTCTCCTCTCTCTGTTTGAGTGTTTTTGATATTTTTACTTGTTCAATGCTCATAAAGTTTTTTTTTTTTTTTTTTTGCCCATTTCGAAGGGGAGTTCTTGCTCGTGGAAGCCATTGGAGAGTTATGATTATAATAAAGAGGAGATAAATCAGGTATCAGTATTCAGGTAGACTTGGTTTTGATTGCTTAATTAACTTAAACTTAGCTACCCATTTTCTGGAGCTTATCTGCATGTATGTTTGTCTATGTAGATTGCATGCAACTCTAAATCTTCTTTTCTTGCTGCTACGGATGATGGCGGTGAAATTAAGGTCACTTCTTATTACCCATCTTGCAGTTTTTGCAGTTCATATATAATCTGTTATCTATCTCATTATGTATGTAGTTTGTAATTTCAGCTGCTGACTGTAATCACTGTGGCAGATTATTGACATTTGTCAGAAACGCATTTACAAAACATTAAGAGCTGGCCATACAAGTGTATCCTTTTTTTTTTCTTTTTTTTAAATCATTTAAGCACTTCCCTTTTTGTTCTTCTTCAAATTATGTGACTCATGGTCGGCTATCAACAAAATATTCTGCTGCATATCTTTTTATTTTCCTTCTTTATTTTGTTAAATTCCAATTGCTTCCTTCCAAGCATGATCCGTTCCCTTGAATTCTTTGCTATCTTTCCCTTGTATTTCCGTCACCTTAACTATATACTACACACAGATTTGTAGCAGCGTGCAATTTCTTCCTTGGAGACCGTGGGAAGGTATATCTATAAGATTTTCCTTGCCCTCTCTCTCTCTCTACCGTCAATTGTACTGATGGTTCCTTTTAAAATATGCCTGAAATATATCAATTCAGCATGTTGAAATCATTGAATATTAGTTGGCACATTCTAAAACGAAGGCCATTCCCTTCATGTTAAGCATTTTTCATCTATCATGGTAATTTCAACGAAGCTTTGAGTGTCTCTTATCATGTTTTGATTATGTGCTAACATATACAAATCTTAGCTCTTTTGTGAGTCCACTGTTGGGTATCTTTAAGGATATACTTGAACAAGGTACATAGAGCATAGATGTCATATCAGTGCGAGTTTCTTGAAGAATCCAGTAAAACGTTCATCTCTTTCTACTCACAGATAATTGACTGCCAACTTCTGTCTTGGGGTATCTTGGGCAGTTATCACTGGAGGTCTTGATTCAAAGCTTGTGATGTGGGATTTTTCCAAGGGGCGCCCTAACAAAATTATGAATTTTGGTAAAGCATCTATCTTTTGTAATCTATAACTTTCTCTTTATATTGGTTGCTTTTCATAGCTCTTATGACATTTAATCAAAGTTGGAATTGTTTCCACTTCGGCAATTCATTGGAACATGAAATTCCTTACCTACAGAGTTTGCCACTTTGCATTGCTTGGGGCAAAATATGTTTTTTTTTTCCATTTTTATTTCATACTCTTTCAAGTACTGGAGAACCTTTGTAGATTTTTTATTATTGATTTTCTGGTCTATAAGATACATAAGAGTAGATCTCTGTCCAGCATTCTGAATATGTTTAGGCCATATAACCAGGTGTGAAGTGTGTGGTCTACGAAGTTGGAGACAGAACAGGAACTGATAAGCTTGTGGTAGGCTAGGAGAAATGTTGACCTTGAGTAATCGAAGGTTCAAGGTGTATAGAGCCACGCATGCACGTGCATGCATGCATATACGCTCAAAAGTTTAAAATATCTAGGGCAAAAAAATGCATGTATCTTTGCAGCTGCAGGTGATTAGACAGGAGGTGCACACAATAATTTAATATGAAATTAGAACCAAGGCCTTTCAATCCTCTCAACATATTGACGCACTTTACTTTGGTCCTAAAAAGTTGATCATTTGATGGTTTTATCTTTTATAAGAACAGATGAAAATCAATGTGGTTCAGTGGTTGGATTGATCTTTTTGTACAAATCTTGCTTGCTATTCTTCACTGCAGGCTTGTCTGACGCAAATAATGGTGATGGCAAGGAACAGTGTTTCAATCCTGCTTTTGTTCACGCAATAGCAGTTCCAGAAATTGACATGTTAGACAAATCAGACAAGGTTTGTGTTGTGGCTAGGGGTGATGGTGCAGTTGATGTGATTAATATAGAAGCTGAACTTGCTACCATGAGGTCAAAAGGTTCTAGAAAACCTCAGAAAGGATCTCAATCAAGATCAAAAGAAAAGGAAATCCCAGATCAAAATGGATGGAAAAGGTTGCATTTGGATTACTCATCAGGCGGTCATACTGCTGCAGTCTCTTGTGTGTGAGTAATAGTCTGATAGACTTAAATGCAGTGCAAGGAAACTTAATTCACTTATTGACTAGCATGTATTTTTCAGGGCATTTTCGTTGTTTGGGGATAGAGGAAGATTTATAATTTCAGGTGGAAATGATAAGTTGGTAAAGGTCTGGGATTGGACCAAGTGTCTTGATGCAGGACAGACTATCAGCAGCAGTGATCTTCTACATTTGAATATCAACCTCAGCAAAAAAGTGAGTTATCGTTGCATCTGCACCCCCACTTCTTGAACTTCAGTTTCTTGCTTGTTTCCATGTCATTTTATGTGAAGCTTCTGATCATGGAGTTGATGCCTTTGCAGGTCAATTGGCTCTGTACTACTCCAGCTGATGTGGAAAACCTTGTTGTTTGTGATACAACTAAGGTGGTAAAGGTCTATTCTGTTGCCTAGATTAAAGCTGCAGTATCATTGAGTATAGAAGCTTATAGTCTCGTGTGGCAAACTCATTCTGGCTCTAGGAAAACTTGTCTACTCTTTGCATTTTGTGCCTTGAACAATGCAATCCTTGATCGCCATAATCAGCTTGATGCACTTTTAAGGGTTCGTTCACCCCTGTATCTCATGATCTGTAGATGTTTTCTACTTGTGTAAGTTGGGGAATCAGATGCTAGTCTGTAACTCTGTATCATGTCACTGCTGGGATCGCCTGTTATTTGTTTTGTTTTTGGATTTTTTGTGGGTATGTCTTAAACACAAAATTGTGAACTCCATATTGATATTGGTGTTCATGAAGAAAATGTTTATCCAAATATAATTGAAAAGGCAATTTTTCTTGAGAATTTAAAGCTGTAATTATGGATTCTATATTAACTTAAGAACCTATTACCCATTGATTCTGCAGGTTCAAAGCCATCTATGTAATGAGTTAATTGAGCAATTTCCACAAAATTGGAAGTTACATTTTTCTATCCGATTTATAGTATCTTTCTTTTTTCTTTCTTCTTATATATTCCAAAGTAGAAACTAGAAAGAAAGAACGTTGCCGATTCTCTCATAAATGTGTGACAAATTCACCATGTTACACCTGTGATTTATGACCATCTTTGTAAATCATAATGGCCAATTCAAGCGTTGAGGCCCATTTTATAAGGCAAGCTTGTAGGGCCTCTATTTGGAGACTACAGATAAAAAAAGAGAGACAGCTGCACTCTTCTTCTTGGGTTTTTGGTGGGAAAGATAACAGACGTTGGTTAGTTAAGGATGTACCTTGCCCAACCGAAACCTTCCTTAGACTTCCCGCAAAAATTTCAAATCTTTTTTCTTTTAGGAAAAACAAAAGATTGAAAGAGGTAGCTTCCCATCTCTCTCTCTCTGCAGATACAATGACACCAACACCCCAACTTCCACACCCTTCCAACCACCATACTCCACCTCCTTCTCACCATTTCAAAAATGGGGTTTGGGCAATTCGTATAAAACCAGCAACAAGACCTAGATTGGGAAGTAGAGTGAGACCCCTTTCAGGCTTAAGGTATTGGGTTTCCAAGGAAATTAAGGAAACACCAATATTGTCAAAATGATGCAGTCTGGGATTCCTCTATGCAACA